ATTAATTATTAATAAAATACATACTCGTTAAAAAGTCTCAAGAGCTGTCTGCGTGATTTTGCCGTTGACGATGGGTGAAATTTATACGTTGAAAGCAACTCAGCAATTTTTGCGGCATTAAAAGGTATTGGCGATAATTCGACATCCACTTTACCAGCTCTTGGATCTAAAGACTTCTCAATCTCATTTTCTAGCTCAGTTTTAGAAAATTGGTTACCTTCATTGTCAGTATCTTCTTCTATGTCAGATATTTCTACTTTTTGCATATCATCTATATGTGCACAGGGAAAGCCAGCCTATTTAAAATACGTTTATAAATTAACAAATATATGTTGAGATATGTTACATCGTGTATTGGAGTTTTGTATTTTAGATATATTAACATACGTCTTTCCAAGCATTGAATTTTTCTACGTAGTCTAAACCAATATCCGATTGGAATATCAAATATCTGAAAATATGTTGCATGATATGTTTCATCTGTCGTTCGTCATTTGTAGTTATTAGATACTCAGCAAAGGGTTTAACAAATTCGTGGACTACATCTTCTGATAGATTTCCATTACCAACCTACAGTATCAATAATAGAAATGACAATTTTTTAATAAAAATTGAATAAAAGTTTAAATTTTAGCTGTAAATTCTCTTATACTGTATAAGTACCTTGGCAAGCTCCTCTAGATATATCTCTGTTATATGTAAATTAAATCCTAAGCCGGTTTTTACGTGCAAAAAAAGTTGTGTAAATATTTTCGAAAATTTTGTCACCCATCCCATTTTCCATGAGTGATTTTTACAAACTACAAACGTTTGACGAAGAATCCTCCTGACCAACTGCAAGAAAAACAAAAAAATGATAAGATTAGATTCTTTCCAAATATTCAAGTCTTTGCATGTGTCGTGCGATCAGATATATTTCAAATAATAAAAGTACCATGAAGAATTTGTCTAGTCTATACTGATCTATGCCAAACCATTCAGTAGCAAGTGTCTGTAGGGCACAGCTAGTGTAAAGTATAATTGTATCTTTTGATTTCAAGCAATGTACAAGCTTGCTCACTGACTCTGCCAGCTCCTCCTGAATCAACAGCTTGTCTGACATCCACATGCAGTAAAAAAGACCTTTCCATAAGCTCATGAAATCTGTCTTTGTAAACTCTGTAAAGAATACAGAGTACATCAGGCCCAAGGTACAAAGTTTATATTCAAGTTTATGTTGAAGTTCATATTTATATTAACTCTTTGTATATACGATTGAGTCATTCGTATCTTATGTATTTCTTTATTTAATATGAAATATTAAGGAAGCACTTGGCTAAATGATGGTCTTTATTCTTTCCTTTTTTAATACATTGGATACTTCCCAGCAAGAGATACACGTGACACCGTGTAACACAATGAATCATTACATTTTTATTTGCCAATGTTAAAAAAGCACCACTTACAGATACTATCTAAAGATATTGAAGTATACATGTAAGAATAATTATAATCTTCGTATACTTATAAAAGTGATAAAAATTAACCCAAGACACGATCTATCCCTAATAGCAATTTATTGGGGATATACTGGTTAAACCAATAAATATTTAAACACTATTGTACTACCAAGGATCATATATAATAAAGGACTGGAAAATCATCATGTTAATTACTTATGTAATTTACATAGTAATATGCAAAAATTGACTTACCAAATGAACTCTGTGATCGTATCGTGAGCCATTTTTTAAGTCTTTTTAGCATCTTGTATCGGACTTTTCTGTCATTATTAGCCAATAATCGAGCTATCTTTATTTCTTGTGCAACAACTAGAGCTTTTTTGTTTTTGTCATTGGATTTCACGGGTTTCTTGTCGCTAATCTTCGGTGCCTTCGTCTCGTTCTTCGACGGCGATACGTGGGTACCACGTTGTCTGTATTTTCTCACTGCCATTCTTCATACTAATTGTTTTAATCAAAATCAGATAATTCGATATATACTGTCACATTACTTAATAAAATATCAAGTGGTATCAGGAGTGTTTTTTATGCGAGGAATTAAAATATACGCGCACACGGTACGCGTGTAGCGAGATAATGGGAATGGGTTGAACATAACCTAACAATACACACGAGACACATGGTGCTTCCTGATACTGGACAATCAGGAATACGTACTAAAAAAACAGGACATTCATGCACGATGAATTCTATTACATTATAAATAGATATGTGAAAAAAAATGCTGTTCATTCTATCAAATACACAATTCTCTTCTAATTGTAAGTAATTTATGTTTTGGTGCTTTAATAAATTAATTAAATCTGACGAACATCTAAAGCCGATTTTCTCGAAAACGAGCCTTGTATGAAAAGATTAGTCTAAATTTCTGATTTAATTTTTTCGTATAGAATTATTCCTTTCTCCGTTGTACGTACATAATACTTACAGTTTACAAACACTCTGAATATCATAATTATATCCTATATAATTATATACCGCTGTTACGGCTGATTTTATTATCTAGTCTGATCCATCTTGCCCAAGCTGGTTCCAACTTGCCAAGCAGCCAAGGCTGCGTTCGGAAACATCACCCGGGTGCCTCCGTGTATCATCTTATCCTTATTTAACATTGGGTGCATTCAGAAGCGACGACCGTTTACTGAGTAAAAAAGGGATTAATCTCTGATTAATATGTTTATTTGTTATAATTCGTAATGTAAAATAACTTGTCTGTTATCGATAATATCATATCTTTAATATCATATTCCTTACTTATTTATTATTGTTTATTATTTCTCTAATGGCTACGTTTACACCGTACGCTTAGTCCGCGACCTATACGATAGGTGTCTTTGTTTAACCTACAGGATAAACAAAGACATCTATTGTATAGGTCGCGACCTAAATGCACGGTGTAAACACAGTCAGTGAGCGGTGGAGCGTAATTAGGCTTGTTCATCTTTTACCAGTTCATCTTTCTTCTTTTTCTCTTCAGGAGGAAAGAAGAGGAAGAAAGATGAACTGGTGCAAAAGTTCAGCCAAGAAGAACAGGCCTATTAAAAGTCGCTTTTGAATGCACCCATTGGGTGAACAACAAGGATAAAACGATGCATTGGGGCACTCAGGTGGTTTTCGAACGCAGCCCAAGAAGTTTATAGAGTGAGTAGGAGCTATGGTAGGAGCATGTTGGGAGTATGCGACGCGAACAAACCTAAGCATTGAGAGGCGAATCCATTAGCCCATGGTGGAAGGAATATACTTTCACCATGGAAGAAATATACTTTTCACAGAAAAATATACTTCCACCATGCATTAGCACAAGTCCCAACTCTCCAAGTTTGCGCTATTTTCCAACGCATGCGCAATAACACGTAGCACAGGTAGTTTACGCACTTAAAAAATATTTGATATTGTTAGATCTCTCACGAATAAGAATAGAATAGGAAATAAAAAACGTTATTGAACAAAAGTATGCAAATATCGGTAAAAAATTTTTCATGCATGAATATGTATAAATATGTAAAAACATACATAAATGTTCATAAATATGTATAATCATATATTAAATATGTCCATATTACATTGTTCATATATCCTTATATAAATAGACATATTTTATATATAATCGGTAGTATTGTATATAGGCCGTACGATTCCTAGCAGGATATGGACAACATTCATGTGAAAACGTATTTCTGCACCAAAAATTCTGGGCGAATAGACAAACTTTTTGGAATTAATTTTTGGAATTAATTATATACAATATATATAATGATATATAATTTTGTATATAATTAATCCCAAAAATTAATTCCAAAAAGTTTGTCTATTCGCCCAGAATTTTTGGTGCAGAAATACGTTTTCATATGAATGTTGTCCATATCCTGCTAGGAATCGTACGGCCTATATACAATACTACCGATTATACATTTAGATCCATAAGGAATCAAAAGCAAGAACCAATAGTATTGAAGAATTTTAGTTGCAAAGCTGTGTGCTTTCTATGCTAAATGCTTTTTAAATAATAACCAAATAATAATCCACGTAGAACACGGAGTCATAATTAAGTCATAATGGTATCACAGAATGTCATCATGATGTCATTTGATACCTAAAAATTGACTTATAAGTGACGAATGAGGTCATGATGATGATGTCCTCATGACTTCTGTGTTCTACTTGGGAAAGAAGGATAAAACGATATATCATGCGTTTTATGCGTAACTCGGAACGCACCCTAAACTCTGTAATCCATAATATTAGCCAGCTTTAAACCTTTATATCTAAAAATTCAGATAAAATGGCAAATAAATTTTTTAATTTATTATTTTCGAGAACTGAACTTTCTTATCGTGGTATTTTGATTCACAAATTTCTGTTTATCGTGTAGAAAAGAGTATTTTCCATTTTCTCTATTAGCGTATTTTTTACTGTTAGATACAGCTACCCACTGTTACAAATTTGTCATTGCTATAATTTGAGCGTTCCTTTTTCCCTGATGAACAATCAATGTAGACATCACGAATACGAAAATCAAAGCATCAAAATGATGTCATTATGTCATCGCTGAGTGACATCACGAAGATGCACAGGACAACGAGGATCATCCCGATCACGCTCATCTTTCCTGACTATGGAAAAGAATTTTCTCGTATCACAGAAAGGGATTGTAAAAAGAATCGATTATTTGTGCATCGTTATTGTAATCTCTCGGTATATTAATGTTATGTAGCAATTTGCGTAATTCCATATATTGTATTAGAATCTGCTGAAAAGTAACGAGTAATCAAGATAACGAGCATTACGACTGCGGTAAAATATTCAAAACACATGAATGCTCGTTAACGTCTGTCAAATTATATACTCGTGGATGCTTCTCAAGATACGATTTCACCAGAGTTTCACTCATTTTCATGAATATATTTCTATTTCACCAAATGCACTATTGGAAACAATAATGACAGTGTAAGACATTATGAATCTGTTATGAAAAACGCAGAAAAAGACTTGATTACTCTAAATGTCGTATGATTTCAGCTTTTGCTTCTCTTTTCTTCTTATGTACTCAATGAAGGGTGTAAAAAGTTCGCGGATTACACCATCTGGTAGATATGTATTCCTTCCACAAATCTACAATAATATAAATGAGAGAATTTTTTTTTAATTCAAAACAATTTTGAATTTTAGTCATAAGTTTTCTTATTTTGTATATACCTTGGCACTCTCCTCCACATATATCCTTGCCATATACATAATAAATCTTTCGTTTTTTTCATGTAAAAAGAGTTGCGTAGACACTTTTGCGAATTCTGTTACCCATTCTATATTCCACGATTTATTTTTACAAACTACAAACATTTGACGAATAATCATCTCGGCTAACTGTAAGAAAAACAGAGAAACAACAAAATTACATTTTTTCCAAATATTCAAGCACTTCTTGCATGTATATTACGATATTAAGATATCTTTTAAATAAAAAAAGTACCATAGAGAATAAATTTAGTTTACGATGATCTATGTCAAACCATTCGATAGCAAGCGCCTTTAAAGCACAGCTAGTGTAAAGTATAATTGTTTTTCTTGTTGTCAAGCAGCGCACAAACTTACTGAATGACTTTGCCAGCTCTTCCTGGATTGATATGTTGTTCGATGCATTCCATATACAATCAAAAAAGCCTTTCCATAAGGTCATGAAATTTCTCTTTGTAAGTGCTGTAAGGAGCAGTGAGTGCATCAGGTCCAAAATATAAAGTGTTCACGTTCAAGTACATATATAGAGCATGACAAGTATATAACTCTTTGTACATATTTTGATTGAGTATCTTATATATTTCTTTTCTTTGACATATTAAGGAAGCACGTTATTGTCGCAGATCGAACTCAGTGCATCAAGTCCAAAATACGTAGTATCACGTCGTTCAAGTACATTAATATTAATTATTTGTGTATATAGGTTTATATTATATACACACGTTTGTACATTCGTATCTTATGTATTTTCTTTTAATATCAAGGAAGTACTTGGCCAAGTAATAGTATGTATTCTTTCCTTTTTTAATACATAACTTTGGGTTCTTTCCAATAACACGGAAAAAAATGTTTTATATATAATTAAATAAAATTATATATAATTATATATAATTTTGTATATAATTATAATTTTATAAATATATATATAATTATATAAAATTATATTGTATAATTATACAGGGTGTCCCGTGAGTTTTAATAAAACGTTTGTGTGTAGATAGAATGGACTCTAAACTGAGTCGAAAAGTTCTCTATCATTTTGCAATTTTCGTAATAGTTAACAAGATATTAATT